GTCGGGGGTCCAACCCCGGAACCGGGCCCCCCAGCCGCACTGCGCGCGGACTGTCCGCGCGCTGGGGCGCTGGAGCCCGCAGGGGCGCGCTGGGGTGCGCGCTTTGGCCGATTTCTGAAAGTTTTCTGGGCTTCTTTGAAGGCTTCAAACTTGATATTCAAGACCTCTTTTTTTATTCATAATCAAAAACCCTAATTCTACCCAAAACCTAGAATTACAATATTTCTAATCCCGAATTAAATTACAAATGATTTATTAACGAATGAATATAACCGATCCATGGAACCATATAATTAACGACCAAATCCACCATCCATACATTCATCATCATAAATTAAAATAAACATCCATAAATGCAAGTGCCTACCCATCACATACATACATAATTAAATATCACATATTTAATATATTAATTCTTATTATCAAATAATCGAAGCATAAATTAATATCGTCTATAGACCACTCTGATACCAATTGCTGGCTCCCGAATCGAATTCGGGTAATGAAGCGTGGCGGGGAGGCGGATCGTGTATGACAAAAATTTTCATAAAACTTTTGAGATACTCTATAGATTATATTAATTTATGCACGAATAAATTAATCGCATTAATTTACATCAAGAACTCAATCCGGAAAAATACCTGGAAGCTGACTCGGATGATAACTTGAGTTCTTTGTGCACGAACAGTCCTTGCTCTAATCTTTGTGTTTAGAATACCAAAGTCTTCCACGTCAATTCCTTGATTCCACGTAGATGTGTGTGTGGGCACACGTGAGACAAAACAGGTTTCTTCAACACTCGAATTTCCACAAACACCAACGCATGCACGATGTGGAATTTTTGGAGAAAAATATTTTTGCTCTCTTTTTTCCTTGAGAAATTCGGCCACCAAACAATTTAGGGCTGAATAATGCTTCCAAAAATTATGTTCACAATTTTCTATCATTCTCATATTTAAAGAGTAGAAGTCAAACTTCAAAACAAAATCAAATCCCTATCTCCAATTTTGAATTTGGAACAGAAAATCCCTTCCCATTATCCACAAGGTGGCCGGCCACACTTAGAGTTTTCTAACCCTATGTGTGTGGCGCCAATTCTAATAAGAAAGGAAGATAATTCATCCTTTATCATGTAGTCTAATTTTAATTCAAATTCAAATTCGAATTTAAGTCAAACTTAAATTAATTTGAATTCTAAATTGAACAACTTATCAAATAAGTTTAAATGGATAAATCTAGATGTGTTCAAATTCAAATTTAAATAATCACATTATTTAAATAATAATTAATTCTCAATCAATAATTTTCGAGTATTTAATTTTAGAATTCCGTAATTCTAAAATT